GCATCATCCGCCACTCGCTGAGACCGCCCTTTTTCCCTAGGCCCTGCAGCGCTGTCGGGCAAACTCACAGACTTGGTTGCGTACTCATGAGGACGTATCCATCCAGCATGTCAGTTCTAAAGGCTAGGACTAGTCGACTAGGGGTGTGCAGATAATGCTCGAAAAGGTGGCAGATTCTGCTCGAAAAGCAGTGAAATTGGCAGAACTATACAAACCTTATGGCGGGCAATTCCTCGAATTCTGCTCCATTTCTTTATCCACATACCAAACATGCATGAAACTTACCAGAAAAAGTACCGAATTCTGCCAATTTTTCTGCCGGCATTATCCGCATATGCCTACCCTACAACGACGTAGTCCTAGATAGGCATATGCGGATAATGCCTGCAGAAAATTGGCAGAATTCGGTACTTTTTCTGGTACTTCAAAATAAGTTTCAACTTTCATGCATGTTTGGTATGTGAATAAAGAAATGGAGCAGAATTCGAGGAATTGCCCGCCATAAGGTTTGTACGGTTCTGCCAATTTCACTGCTTTTCGAGCAGAATCTGCCAATTTCACTGCTTTTCGAGCAGAATCTGCTGCACCTTTTTCGAGCATTATCCGCTCACCCTTAAAGGGAAACTGAACGCCAAAAATAAGTATGGCTTATCCGAAGGAGAATTGGGCACTGATTCCGATGAGCTATGTCTCGAGCCGATCAGAGAAGAGGAACTGTGTCAAATTTCATAAATAACACCTCCCATATTTGGAAATTGGCCTTGATGACGTGCGTACTGCTTAGCTGTCACCACGCTGTGCATGTTCAGCAGTGTAATTGAATGGAAGAAAACAATTACTTTGGTGTTTTGCAGCTCTGTTTCGTTCCCTGACGGTAACCAAATCTAGATGTAGGAATCTGTTGAGCAGGAGAGTGACACATGTCTTCCCGAAGGCTGTCCAGGCTGCAGTGGTGATGAAGAAGACACGATCATCACCCCGAGATCGATCGTAGCGAATTGGAAAACTCATGGTGAATTTGCTTCCACTCCAAGGCAATGTCGAGGTATGAAGGGTGCTTGTACTGCCTTCCAAAGTGAAGAGGAGATGAACATGGCTTTGCATAGCTGTTGTTCTATGCCAACTTACCTACTCTTGCTGGTACCGTAGTGGCATATTGCAAATTTCGTGGACGAACAACTCTAGTCACTAGTGGCTAGTGAGCAACACTAACAGGTGAGATTTTTCAATTCGACAAAAATTGTTTTTGTTTGAGAACTGACAGTGGCAGTCATTAGACTCAGTAGGTGTCTTTGCTGCTTCTTCCCCTTCATTGGTAGGGTTGTGCTTGAATAATACAAGTGCTTGAAGTAAAATAAAATAAATAGAACATGTGGAACATAAATCTAATCAAGCATCAGTCATGTATTGCGAAGTTCAACTTCAAAGCACATGAAATCGTGACAATGATCACGAAGTTTATGTAATCAAGAGTACACCCTGTGTTCAACGAACACATACACACATGCTGTATTGCGCACACACATGTACACATGTGCGTGCACCCCCATCCCATCCCACAGACACACGCATGCAGGCATGCGCGCACATCCATACACATGTGCGTGTACCCCCCCCCCCCACACACACATTCCTACCCATACACATGTGCATCCCCCCCCCCACACACACGTGTGCACATACAGATACACAAACACACACGCACGAACACACACACAAGATACGTGTAAGTGTACATGGTCTTCCTGGTGCAGATGCTGAGCCAGCACAATGGAAAATACCTCCATCAAGATGCTTGATCAAGTGTTGTGATAATGGCACTGTTTGTTTGTTTTTACAAAGAAGTGTGGGAAAGATTACAATGCATTATAATTCATAATTGTTCTTTGCCTTGTACTGTGCAGACCAGAATGCTTCGTTATCAACTCCTGGCTTTCCATCGGCATGGTGTTCAGCTGCAGCGGCATCTGGTCCGGGGAGTTCAAGTTGCTGGATGGCTGCACTGACACAGGATGGGTTTGCGTTGGCAATGCGATACGGCAGTCATCCCACATCACGAGCTACATGTTTATGTAATTTATATTGTCGCTTGTCCAGCAACGTCAAGGCTCTGCATGTAAACACAGGAGAACACCATAATACTACTCAGGGGATAATAATTTTGGATATCAATTTCGTGACAATTATTAGATTCACACAATATTCACAACGTATGCAACACGATGCTGTCTATTGACACTACTTCAAACTGAAGTGCTCACTACTCCTCTCCCGTTTTTATCTCCCTCTACCTTATGAATACTCTGCATTACTGGTTTCGTTTCTACCCTTTCCATTGCTGCCAGCTCCCGGTCTTTTTCAATGCACAGCACCACCTTGACAGTCATTTTTGTGATTTGATGTACACATACTTTGATGTTCAAATTCGAATTACATGATCAGATTTTTGTTCCACATTTTCTATTTATTTTTACTTCAAGCACAACCCTACCGATGAAGGGAAAGAAGCAGCAGAGAGACACCTACTGAGTCTAATGACTGCCACTGTCAGTTCTCAAACAAAAACAATTTTTGTCGAATTGAAAAATCTCACCTGTTAGTGTTGCTCACTAGCCACTAGTGACTAGAGTTGTTCGTCCACGAAATTTTGCAATATGCCACTACGGTACCAGCAAGAGTAGGTAAGTTGGCATAGAACAACAGCTATGCAAAGCCATGTTCATCTCCTCTTCACTTTGGAAGGCAGTACAAGCACCCTTCATACCTCGACATTGCCTTGGAGTGGAAGCAAATTCACCATGAGTTTTCCAATTCGCTACGATCGA